CTCTGTCTCTCTCTCCCTCTCTCTCTCTCAACATATAAATTTACATTTGAGTATATATGTTATACACACACACACACACACACAGAAACACACACACACACATACACACACACAAACACACATAGACATATATGATTCCATATACAGCTAGAATGAAACCTATGATAATATATATCATATGTTTCATTTTTTGTTGTATATGGAGTCAAAAGGCGCTCTCTATAGTCAACCGGAATTACGTCAAAGTGCAGAGTTTATGATGTTAATCGCGATGTAAGTCAAAGGCACGCACAACTTGTTCATTCAAAATGTGATGATCAATATCGTCCATCCCTCTCCCAGATCATCTTTACCACCACAACCAAATCATTAAATGTAGACCATCCTCTTCTCCACCCATATCCCTCTCCCCATCATCATCTTCCCCCAACCCCCATCACAACCCTCTCCCAACCCCCACGCCACCAAGTCAGTTATTTTGAGTCGCACTGCCAAAATGAAAGCACGCACAGCGACCTACTTTTCTTCATTATTCATGTAGCTTGCGAAAAATTAACCACACATTTAAAATGGACGAAAATAACGTAGCAAGATAAAATCAGTAACGCAGCACAATAACCATCACCACTAACTTCTCCCCAACACCTCCCCCCATCCCACCAACTCTCCCAAACACCACCACCCTGTCAGCAACACCCCTTCCCCATCCCCAAAAAACACCCTTCCTCCCAATCGCCAACACCACCCCTTCCCAATCACCACTACCCCTTCCCAATCACCACCACCCCCCTCCACAACACCCGCGCCCTCAACACCACCCTCTCTCAACCACCCCCTCCCAACCACCCCCTTCCAACCACCACCACCAATACTCCCTCCAAACCACCACCATAACCACTCCCTCCCAACCACCCCGTCCACCATCCTTCCCCAACTCCACAACCAGCAAATCATTCAATAACGCAGCAGCAGCACCGCCACCACCACCCTTTCCACACCAATATCTTCTCCCCAACTCCATCCTATCCCCAACGGTCTCCTCACATTCACCACGAACCACCACCCCACCCAAATACCCCAACCAAACAATTAATTAAGTCGTGAGCAGACCTGGGAGACAGATGGTCAACTTCCTCTTTGTCCGGTCAAACTTGCGAGCATTCCTCTCCGTCTCTTCCTTCAGCATCCAGTTATGCGCGACCTCGAACTCCGCAGCCTTCTCTGCCCTTGACCTTGGCGTCTCTCCCTCGTCGCTGATCGCGTCACTCTCACAGTCAAGGTCGTCTCCATCCAGAAGGTCAGGATCATACATCTCCAGTCCATCTACATTCAGAATTTCTATCCTGGGCTCAGTCCTACAAAGGACGAGGTTTTCATTGAATGTTCGTCCCAGGGACGCAATAACACCGCGGTGCAGAAGGAAGAAGAAGAAGAAGAAGAAGAAGAAGAAGAAGAAGAAGAAGAAGAAGAAGAAGAAGAAGAAGAAGAAGAAGAAGAAGAAGAAGAAGTT